CTGCGAGAGGCCCCCCAACGAATTTCCCGATGATATTGGATTGCCCCTTCTGTCTGTTGTTGACCTGCATTCGTTGGACCAATGCCGGCCTTTACTGCATCTCCTACATATACCTGAAGGCCAAGGTCTCCTATTTTTGTCATTCCCAGAAGAGATATTATTCCTAGAACTTCTTTGCCTGCAATCCCTTTGCAAATGTCCTAATTTACCACAATTAAAACACCTGGCAGTTTGATGTCTCCTCATTGCTTTGGAAATCGCTTCTCCCACCCAAGATTCATCATTATAGCTAAATGTCTCAACATTCATCGTATGCTGAATCCATTCATCCATAGGTGCTGATCTAGACTTTAAAGGCCCAATTATCTTTTTGTATTCTATGTTTGCATTCTCAAAAGCTAGAGAGTCAAGAAGTATACGTCTAGCTTCTGGGTCTGTTACCCCTATGTCCAGAGCCTTAATTAATCTTTGCAAAAATTCAATAAAGGGTTCTCTCTGTCCCTGCCTAATTCTGGTATATGATTCAACCCTTTTTGCTGGATCTTGTATCCTATTCTAAGCATTTAAAGCTGCTTGGTGACATAGACACAGTACTTCATCTTCATAAAGAGCTTGGACCTGTGCATCAGCATATTCTTCTGCACCAAGAATTTGATCTTGGGAAACCTCAACACCCTTTGCTCTTCCTTGCTATTCCATATGTTTGGATTCTTCTCTGTAAATTCCAAACATCAAGGAAGGTCCATTATCTAAAACTACAGACACTAACTGATGGAAATCATGGGGGGTAGCTCTAGCATTAGAAGCCCAAGTCCTTATCATTTCCTTTACATATGCATTGTGCAAGCCAAAATTAACAATAGCTTGCTTAATTTCTTTCAGATCATTCATTGCTATTGGCGTCCATCTAGCTTCTCTGACTCCCTTTGAGCCTTTAGAAGTTGACACTTTGTCAGAATTAAGTATAGGGTATGTTGCTAGAATCCTGGATAAGCCAGTTCTAATAGCTGGTGGAGGCATTGTATCCTGTCCTTGTGCCTCCTTACTCTGTTCACCAGCTGCAAAAATTTCTCCAATCTTTTCAAATCTTTTTATCATTGTCTCTCTTAAATCCTGAATCTTCTGACCTGTATATATTTCCAGTGATTTCACTGAGGTATCAATTTTTTGGTCCCCATTCTGCACCTGTGATTCCAAAACTTTAATTTTTTCTTTCAAAGATAACATGTCCTCCTTAAACTTTTCTTGTATATCATGTAGATTCCCATCTTGGAGGTACATTCTGTCTGTTACCTTATCAAAACTTTGTGATAAAGTCTGAACGTCGATTTCAACAGCCTGAATTCTTTCAGGTAACTTTCTAATACCCTTGGATATGGAGTCAATTTTGTCTGTCATAGTATCCACTTGTTCAGATAACCTCTGATTTTCAATAATTTTAATCCTGTCAATTAGTTGTTCATTATTAGTTCGTAAAGGTTCTATCGTCTTTAGGAGTGTCATATTCTTCTGTTCATTATTAGTTTGTAAAGATTTTATCATTCTTAGGAGTGCCGTATTCTTCTGTCTATTTTTAGTACATAAAGATTCAATCTTTCTTAGGAGTGCCATATTCTTCCTTAATGATAGAATATGGAAAAGAAAACTGAAACCTAGTAACAAGCAAATTAATATATTCCCATATTCATATAAACTTGTATGATGTAATCCATTGTATTAGTAAATATAAATTTACTAATCAATTGTTTTAGTGTAAACAAAGCAGTAAAATTTGCGTTAGAAATGAGAACTGCCATATTACCTATTATCCAGCAGGTGCCGCTGTTGCCAAGTTGCGATGAAAATGAGTTCCTGTTTCAGTGCCTTAGTAGATGTTAAAAACTGGAAAATGAAGCCGGGCAGTGGTGGCGCACGCCTTTAATCCCAGCACTTGGGAGGCAGAGTCAGGTGGATTTCTATGAGTTCGAGACCAGCCTGGTCTACAAGAGCTAGTTCCAGGACAGGCTCCAAAACCACAGAGAAACCCTGTCTCGAAACCCCCCCCCCCAAAAAAAAAACCTGGAAAATGCAAGTTTCTCAACAAAGTAAATGTAATTAAATCAATTCCAGAGACAGAACCAGAAACCCAGAATCCAGGGGTAGAGAAGAGCAACCTGGAAGCCACTTATGCCTCCACGTGACAGAGTCACCCTGAGGGGTTGCAGCTTTCAGCAACCGCTGGCTCTGGTTCGCGCCACTTAAGAAGTGATTTAAAAACGACTCAGAAAAAAGCAAACCACTTGGGCAGAGACTACGCAGGCCTGTGGAGTTTAAATCCACGTTGGCAGGCAGATGATAGGGTGCGTGGGGACTGGAGTATTAAGCTGCTGGCTCCATGCACAAGACACAGACCACAAGCCTGCCGCCAACAAGGCCGCGGCTGAAGAAGGGAGGCTCGTGCCAAGCCGAACTTGCGGCCGGCAGACGAGCGGGGGAAGGAGAGGTCCTAACACCAAACATTGAGTGCCAACTGAAGGCATAAGTCACAAACAATGCCACACCAGTTTGGAATTATGATTAATAGAGTGGTATTTATTTAATGGGGAAAAAACTTACAGATCGCCGTCACAGACAACAGTCCTCTACACAACCAGGAAGGGATTCTAGTAGCTGGTGGAGCAGGAAGTGAAGAGAGAGAGGAGAGGGAAGTGGCTGCTTATTTAAAGGGAGAGAGACCACGCCCCAATGGGCTGGTATCTCAGCAGCTATAGGCTGGAGGAGTGGGAGGACCTCCCGCAACAGGGAAGAGCTTGGTCCTACCTCAATTTGATATGCTATGCTTTGTTAACAACCATAGAAGGCTTGACTCTTATGAACAAAAACAGAAGAGGAGTGGATGAGGGGGCAGAGTGGAGGCCAGGAGAGGGAACAGGAGGAGAAGAGGGAAGGGAAACTGCTCTCAAGTTATAGAAGGAGCTGTGGGCTGCATTTCTGCCACTAGGCTCCTGGCTGCCTGGCTAGCTTATGCCCTGAAACAACAACATGCAAACGGTATTCATTTAAACACTGCTTGGCCCATTAGCTCTAGTCTCTTACTGGCTTACTCTCACATCTTGCTTAACCCATATTTAGTAATCTGTGTAGCTCCACGAAGTGGTGGCTTACTGGAAAGGATTCTAGTGTACGTCCATCTTGGGCTGGAGCTTCATCGCGTCTGCCCTGGAGAGGAGCAGCATGGTATGTGGCTCAGAGAGGAGTGGCATGGCGATTGCCTCACTTCCTCCCAGCATTCTGTTCTGTTTACTCCACCTACCTAATTTTCTGACCTATCAGAACAGTTTTCTTTATTGATTAACCAATGAAACAAAAGATTGACAAATGACCTTCCTACATCATCAATGTATAAAATAAATGAAAAAATAAGTGACAAAAATGTAAAAAAAAATGTTGAAATATCGGTGTTGCCATAGAATTATCACATGCTTTAAGTACTTATTAACTAACTTAGAAAGATGTGCTAGAAATAGTAAACTATGTTTTTTTTTTTTTGGAATGGATTTTCTAGATTGAATCCTATTTGAACAACTGTTCTTTGCAAGATCTTCTTAGTTTAGGTTATTTTTAGTAAAATATTTTATGGAGCTAAACTATCTTTTTCTAAAATCTGTGCTATGAGAAAAGAAATTCTTATGCCCACTGCAATGACTCAGGCTTCCATATGTAGTATGAAAATACTATCTATATCCTCTTCATACCAATGGTTATACTTCAGAGCTTTGAACTCTCAACTTTAATAGGAATTTATAGTCCCTCCTTATCCAGAGAGAATATGTTCCAAGTCACCAATGAAAGCCCAAAATGACAAATGATGCAATGTTTCATTTATATTGCTTGATTTCCCTACTCATATATACCCATGATTACATTTAATTTACAACTAAGACATAGGAAAATTTTGGTAACAATGATTACTATTAAAATAAGGAATCTATATACATACAGTATAATAAAATACATTAAAATTATAAATTATATATTTCTGAATTCTTCTATCTTTGTGTGTGTGATTTGTATTTTCATGTGGTGTTTGCAGGTCTGTGTGCATGAGTAAATGTATGAGGGGACCACCATATGCATGTGTAATATCTCAGGTGTTGATCTTCACCTTTACATTTTTGAGACAGGGTATCATTATTTCATAGTCTACACAGTGCTATTTTAATCTCGATCTCCCATCTCACAATAGGAACATTGGCCTTATAGAGTTGTGTTAACACTTTTCAATTTTGACTTGGGACCTGGTGATCCAAACTCAAATCCTCACACTTGAACAGGAAGTACTTTAGTAGCTGAGCCATCTTCCTAGATCTGAAATTTTTTAATTTAATGTTTTTGGACCATTATTGACAGCAGGTAAAATGTAAGCTTAGAAACTGAAACCACAGATCTGGTAAGTGTACCTTTTTAGGTATCAGAGGAGCAATATTACCCTGAACCGATATAGTACAATACTAGTTTAAAAGTACTTTCCGTCAATTCTCTCACTGAGTTTTCAAACCAGGCTAATGTTAGAAGTACTGTCATACTACATTCGTAACTAGAAACAAAAGAGTGCTTAGTGGGAATAATTACTCATCTAAGAGTACAACAGACAAAACAAACAAAAAACTAAGGCTTGGAAGAAATGATGGTTTGGTATTAGGTGCACTTCCATAGTTTTATGCTTTGTCAAAAGTGTGAGCACCTGAAACCCTCCACAAATAAATAAATAAATAAATAAATAAATAAATAAATAAATAAATAAATAAATAAATAACAGTGTGAGCAGCCTTAGGAGATTCCTTGGATCTGTGTCTTGCTTCAACAGTGTTTGGATGGAACAGAACCTGGGCCTCCCTTTGTTAGCTTCCACCGCTCCTCATCTGCAGCCACAGCCTCTGGGACCATCTTCTCACCGCCTTCAGCTCCCAGGACCAGACAGTACCATCTCTTTGCGGGTAGCTCCAGACTGAGTCTCAGCCATGATCTCCCAGATTTGTCAGAATTATTTCACCGAAGTGGAGGCTGTCGTGAACCGCCTGGTCAACTTGCACCTGTGGGCCTTCTACACCTACCTCTTGCTGGGTTACTATTTTGACCGGGATGACATGGCTCTGGAGGGTATAGGCCACTTCTTCTGCGAATTGGCTAAGGAGAAGAGCGAGGGCACCGAGCGTCTCCTCAAGTTGCAGAACGATTGCGGAGGCCATACACTCTTTCAGGATGTGAAGAAGCCATCTCAAGATGAGTGGGGTAAAATCCAGGAGGCCATGGGAGCTGCCCTGGCCTTGGAGAAGAACTTGAACCAGGCCCTCTTGGATCTTCATTACCTGGGCTCTGCCCATACAGATCCTCATCTCTGTAACTTCCTTGAAAACCACTTCCTGGATGAGGAGGTGAAGGTCATCAAGAAGATGGGCAACCACCTGACCAACCTCTGCCGTGTTGAAATGAGAAGTGGTGGGCCGCTTCTCACCACCTGGCTAGCTTTACCCAAAATAATGACACAGAAACTGTATTATTTTAAACACTGCTTGGCCCATTATTTTTAGCCTCTTCTTGGCTAGTTCTCACATCTTGATTAACCCATTTCTAATAATCTGTGTAGCACCACAAGGTGGTATCTTACCAGGAAAGATTCAGCATGTCTGACCTTGTGGCAGGATCCATGGCGTTTGACCAGAGAGGAGAGGCATGGCTCACTTCACTTCTTCCCAGCCTTCTATTCTGTCTACTCCACCTACCTAATTTTCTGACCTATTAGACCAAGTAGTTTTCTTTATTGATTAACCAATGAAACAACAGATTGACAAATGACCTTCCCACATCGCCACAGGTTGGCTGCTGGACCCCAGGTATCTCTGAGCGAGTACCTCTTTGAGTGGCTCACTCTCAAGCATGACTCAAAGACCTCTCCTTCCGAGGGGCTCCCACCTCTGCTCTGCACCAGCCCACCTCAGGACCTTCACCTAAACGTGTCAAGAAGCCACTAGGCAGCTTTGTAATGCCCTGGAGCCCCTCTCAAGTCTTGGACCAAGTAAAAATAAAGCCTTGGAAAGAGCAAAAATAAATAAATAAATAAATAAATAAATAAATAAATAAATAAATAAAATTAAAATAACAGTGTGACATGGAGAAGGGTGTAAGAACATAGTAGCAACATCACTACCAAAAAACTGTAGAGATCATTGCCTTCTCTCATCCACTGTTTTACAGAAGAGAGAAAGGTCCTCAATTATAGAAGTCTCCCAAGTGATGTTGCAGAGCTTAAGGACTAGATTCAAATAAGAGAACATACATTAACTTAGGATGCGAAAAAAGATAGCAAATGATTCTGATTAATTAATCTTACATATTTAACTAGCTCATACAGTACAGTAACTTTGGGACAGAATATGAAGCTCAGTGGTAGAATACTTGTCTAGTATGTAAAAAGTTATCAAATTGATCTGCAGCACCATTAAAATAAGTAGTGTTAGGAATATTTTCTAACACAAGCTCCCTGCCAACACAATATGCCCAATCAAGCCAAATGAAAACAAGCCAAACTAAGAAATATTCAGGTTTAATGGGAGTTCTGAGCTCTCAGGTGTCCCTGAGGGGGAACCAGGAAGCTACAGGACGTACCCCCTGGGAAGAAGAAAGGGAGACTATGTGTTCCTTTTTTGGGGGATCACTTAAATACCCTGGGGAGTGGTCCTGACCTGGCCTCCTGGGATTTGGAGTCCAGACCAGGCCTGGGGGTTGGGATAGATGCAAGGGGTAGGGGTCTATGCTTCCAACTTGAAATTCCAGACTTTTTGGATATAGGGGTGACAGAAAATTGGAATGGTAATTATGACAAACATTTAGGCTCTCTTTGGAACAAAGGGCATAGACTCAAATCTGGCTACTTCCTGTGGGCACAGGGCAGTGTGGTGTAGTGAGGGGAGATCCAGGTGTCCATGTTTAGTGAGAGGTGTGGCTGGAAAGGCATCCCATTAACTGTCATCCCGGAGAAGGCAGGCATCTGTTCCTTGGGGGAGATGAGAAGGCAGGTGTCTAGGAAAAAAATGTTATTGCTTAAGATGAGTTTGCCAGAATGAGGAGCAGGGAGGCCCTTCATTATGACATCCTGGAAAACCGGAGGGTGGAAGGTCCTGTCTGCTGGACAGACCAAGTGTCTTGAGTAGGTGCCTGCTTGTGCCTGGAGAGATGGTACCAGCATGGGTGTTCCAAGAGCTTGGCAGCCAAGGGGGTGGTGAGGATTAGCGTGTGAGGTCCTGTCCATTGAGGCTTGAGAGACCTAGCAGTTAACTGTTTGAGGAGTACTCTGTCCTCTGGGGAGAATGAGGCAGGCTTAGAGGCATTAGGGTCCACTGGTGTAGTGGCAGGAAGACAACTGTCAGAGTGTGAATGAAGAAGGGCCTTAAAAGGGAAAGGTAGGGTAGGTACCCCGCCAGTGGAGGAGTTTGAACTGGGAGGTGATGGTTAAGGAGAAAAGGCCTGCCATAAAGCAACTCAAAAGGGCTCAGGCCCATGGGGGAACATGTGGTGGGCCTGAGGCGAGGGCCAATATATTATGAATTCAGTGAAGAGCTTGGTTAGTTGTTGTTTGATGAGTCCCATTGTCCAAGAGATGTTGAGCGCTTCTGACACCAGCTCCATGACCCTGAGCCACCACATCTGCTGTTTCCCTGGAGACTGGAAATGCTTCTATCCATCCTGTAAAAGTGTCCACAAGTGTTAAGAGATAACAGAGTTTTTATGAGTAGGCATATGGGTAAAATTAACCTGGCAATCTTTGCCTGTGGTGTCCACGAAGCTGGTATATGTGAAGAGCTCCTTGTGGGTTGGCCTGGACGCATGTCTGGCAGGAATAGTGAACCTGTAAAATAGAATCTTGGAGATGGGTGGGGTTAAAAGGGGCTCCAAGAAGCGGAACAAAGCTTTGGGGAAATGGCTAAGGATATCTCCATCCAGTAAGGGTGCTGAACAAGCAGGTATCACTAAGAAAGAATTGGAGAAAAATTGTCCTACAAGAATGTAGGACAGTCGCAGAGTTTTAAGTAAGGAGGAACGGGTTCCTTCTACCCCCATAGTTGAAATTGGTGGAGGAAACTTAAGGCCCAAGTAATAATAAAAGTAATGGACTTACCTGCCACTTTTAGTATGACCCTAGGCTCGGAGAGGGTTATGGGGTATACCAAATTTGGGCACTGACAATCCTCTGCAATGAAAGACCCCCACAGTATAGACAAACAGCTAAGCAGCAGCAATGCCAGGCTTAAACTTTGGAGCAACACAAGTAACATTAGAGCAGGGAAGTTCGACTTGAGAACAAGGGCGGAGAAGCCAGGCAAGATATCTGCGGTCAGCCGGTCAGCCATCTGGCCCCAAGCGATAAGGAGCCAAACTAGAAACAGGAAAAATGAAAGACCCTCTGGACACCCCCCCCCCCCAGAACCCGCAGCTGGCCTGCTCTCATGAGAACATCCTGTTCGCTTAAGACCCTCAGGACCCCTCTCAGGACCTGCAGCTAGCCGGCTCTCATGAGAACATCCCGTTTGCTTAGGGAAACAGGATGCCTATAGTCAGCACATGTGCCCAACTTAGAATATCAGTAATTCACAGAAGAGACAACTCCCCCTATGAAAGATCCCAGCTTGGCTGCTGTAACGTCATTTCACAAAGCTTTTGACGAACGACTGTAAGTGCAGAGTAAGGTCAGGGTCCCTGGCTGCAAAGCAGGATATTTATATCCATAGATTTGGACAGGACATCAATTAACAGGATATCTGTTCCCATACATCTGTGCTGGGAAAGGAAAAACCACCTGTGCCCCTTGCCCCATTCCAACTGACCACTAACAATGCATTTGCTTCTGTAATCTGCTTCTGCTGCCCTCTTTCCTATAAAAAGACCTTCCCCCAGTCTGCAGGCGCGCTTGTCTTCCGAGAGACTAAGTCGCCCCAGGTAACTGTGTACTGAATAAAGCCTCTTGCTATTTGCATCCGAAGAGTGACTCGCTGTTCCTTGGGAGGGTCTCCTCAGCCTGAAAGACTGCCCACCACTGGGGTCTTTCATGCAAGGCTGGCACAGTTTCACTTGCCAATGGTGATGAGGCCGGACTTCCATGGCTTGGCATAGAGGACAAGCCTGCACGGGGGCATTGTGATTTCCAGTGTTCAGGTTGCTAGCAGATAGGGCACAACCTTAGAGCAGGTGTAGCGCAATATCATGCTATATGACCACTTAGGCCACACTTGATAGAGCCTGTGATTGGCTTCCCTTGTCTCCCTTCCTGTGACCTTAGGGCAGCTGGTAAGGCTTAGGCCTGTAGATTGTTGTAGCTTTGTCTGCAGGCATTAAAACTTTAAAGGCCATTTTCACCAATTCCCATATAGGAGTTTAAGGACCATCCTCAACCTTTTTTTTTTGTTTGTTTGTTTGTTTTTGTTTGTTTGTTTGTTTGTTTTAACTCTTTCCTAATATCTGGTACTGACTGAGGAAGCAGAATTATTAATAGACAAGGAACCTAGCAGCTTTTCTACCTGAGAGAGATTTAGAAGGGAAAAGGGAGCAAGGGAGGGGCTAGCTCAGTTCACAGAGTGGGTTCAGGAGTGGAGCAGTGAGTTAGGAGGGGGAGGGGAAGGTGGATGTTGACCTTGAACCTTGGAATTGGGAAAGGGAGATGAAAGAATGTTGCTCCAGAGGAGGGGGATTGTTAAGTGTGGGCTTGAAGGAGTGGGGGAGGGGCCAGTGCCTCCTGCTATGAGACACTAGCTACTAAGGGGAGGGGGCGAGAGTGCAGAGACCAAAAACCCATGGACATATATGTGTAAGCTCTGTTTATTTGTATCAGACAGGCTCAATTTTAAAAGATTTTTGTAAAAGGCTTACCTGGTCATTTTTATTCTTTGCAACAGAATTTATTTTGCTAAAACAATGCTCATTCATTGTGTTTTCTTTTTTTCTCCTTTATCTGAGTAAGTTTGTAATGTGGTATTGTCTTTTTTATCCATTTCTGCAAATGAAATTAGTTTGCCTTGGGTCCCACATCAATAAATCAAATGTAATTGTTTAATTATGAATTATAACTACTTCTTCTCTATGCTTCATACTAAGGACATTGTTGATAATATCCCTTTTTCATTCTTTTTTCTTTTGAATGCATTGTTTTTTTTGAGATAGATTTCAAAATATAACTATCAGTGACCATCTTCGACAAAAATATTACTTACCATGATAGGAACATGGGAATTAGAAAAAAAAAAAGTAAAGAGCACAAAGATGCAAGTGAAAATAATAAAACAGAAACATATGTTAGTTCCAGGAGAGAGTTCTAGTGAATACTGAAATTGCCATTACATTGTAAACATTGTAAATGCTTAGTTTACATTTTGTTTAAAATACCCTGGACCCCAAAAGATAGGAGTAATATAAAAAGCTGCACTAACATGATACAAATAAATGAACAT